ATGGCATCACATTCACTGTTAAAAGGAACATTTCAAGATCTATCCTGAAATACAGTGCTGTCAGTGATAGGATAATATCCACACTCCTACAAGGAAGACATGTTAATATGACCATTATTAAAATTTACACACCAATCACTAATACCAAAGATGAAGAAATCGAAGATTTTTACCAATTTCTGCAGTCTGCAACACTGATCAAACATGCAATCAGGATGCATTGATAGTTACTGGTGATTGGAATGCAAAAGTTGGGAACAAAGAGGAAGGATCAGTAGTTGGAAAATATGACCTTGCTGACAGAAACGAACCAGGCGATCAAATGATAGAATTGTGCAAGACCAATGACCTACTCATTGGAAACATCTTTTTTCAACAACATAAACGGTGACTATACACGTACGTCGACCTGGCTGGATGGAATACACAGGAATCAAATCTACTACATCTGTGGAAAGAGATGATGGAGAGGTTCAATATCATCAGTCAGAACAAGGCCAGGGGTTGACTGCGGAACAGACCATCAGTTGCTCATATGCAAGTTCACGTTGGAGCTGAAGAAAATTAAACAAGTCCATGAGAGCCAAGGTATGAATTTAGAGACCATCTCAACAACAGATTTGACTCATTGAACACTAATGACCAAAGACCAGATGAGTTGTGAAATGACATCAAGGACATCATACATGAAGAAAGCAAGTGGTCATTAAAAAGATAGGAAAGAAAGAAAAAACCAAAATGGTTGTCAGAAGAGACTCTGAAACTTGCCCTTGAACATCAAGTAGCTAAAGCAAAGGGAAGAAATGATGAAGTAAAAGAGCTGAACAGAAGATTTCAAAGCGCAGTTCGAGAAGACAAAGTATTATGATGAAGTGCGCAAAGACCTGGAGTTAGAAAACCTAAAGGGAAAAACACACTTAGCCTTTCTCAGCCTTAAAGAATTAAACAAAAAAATTCACGCTTGGAGTTGCAATGTTGGAAGATTCTATGGGCAAAATACTGAACGACACAGGAAGCATCAAAAGAAGATGGAAGGAATACAGAGTCACCGTACCAAAAAAAATTGGTCGAAGTTCAACCATTTCAGGAGGTAGCATATGATCAAGAACTGACGGTACTGAAGGAAGAAGTCCAAGCTGCACTGAAGGCATTGGTGAAAAACAAGCCTCTAGGAAGACAGAATACTAATTGAGATGTTTCAACAAATGGATGTAACGCTGGAAGCACTCACTTGTCTATGCCAAGAAATTTGGAAGAGAGCTACCAGGCCAAGTGGCTGGAAAAGATCCATATTTTTGCCCATTTCAAAGAAAGGTGATGCAACAGAATGTGGAAATTATTGAACAATATTGTTAATATCACATGTAAGTACAATTTTGCTGAAGATAATTCAAAAATGGTTGCAGCAGTACATTGACAGGGAACTGCCAGAAATGGTAGCTGGATTCAGAAGAGGACATGGAATGAGGGATATTATTGCTGATGTCAGATGGACGTTGGCTGAAAGCAGAGAATACCAGAAAGATGTTTACCAGTGTTTTATTGACTACACAAAGGCATTCGACTGTGTGGATCATAACAAATATGGATAATGCTGCAAAGAATGGGAATTCCAGAACACTTAATTGTGCTCACAAGGAATCTATACATAGATCAAGAGGCTGTCATTCGAACAGAACAAGTGGATACTGTGTGGCTTAAAATCAGGAAGGGTTGTACCTTTCACCATACTTATTCAATCTGTATGCTGAGCAAAAAATCAGAAAAGCTGGACTACACGAAGAAGAATGTGGCATCAGAATTAGAGGAAGACTCATTAACAGCCTGTGATATGCAGATGACACAACCTTGCTTGCTGAAAGTGAAGAGGACTTGAAGCACTTGAAGATCAAAGACTGCAGTCTTAAACTAAACCAAATCAAACCCATTGCCATCGAGTCAATTCTGACTCATGACAAGCCAAAAGACAGAGTAGAACTGCCCCATAAAGTTTCCAAGGAGTGGCTGGTGGATTCAAACTGCCAACCTTTTGGTTAGCAGAAATAGCTCTCAACCTCTGTGCCACCAGGACTCCTCAGTATGAATTACACCTCAACACGAAGAAAACAAAAATCCTCACAGCTGGACCAATAAGCAACAGCATGATAAATGGAGACAGGATTGAAGTTGTCAAGGATTTTATTTTACTTCCACAGTCAACGCCCATGGAAGCAGCAGTCAAGAAATCAAATGATGTACTGCACTGGGCAAATCTGCTGCAACAGATCTCTTTAAAGTGTTCAAAAGCGAAGATGTCACTTTGAGGACTAAGGTGCATCTGAGCCAGGCCATGGTATTTTCAATTGCCTGATATGCATGTGAAAGCTGGACAATGAATAAGGAAGACCAAAGAAGAATTGATGCCAATGCTAATTGGTGTTGGCAAAGAATATTGAATATACCATGGAGTGCCAGAAGAATGAACAAATCTGTCTGGGAAAAAGTTCAGCCAGAATGTTCCTTAGAAAGGAGGATGGTGAGACTTTGTCTGGTGTTTTGGACATGTTATCAAGAGGGACCAGTCCCTGGAGAAGGACATCATGCTTGGTAAAGAGGAAAACCCTCAGCAAGATGGATTGACACAGTGGCTGCAACAATGGGCTCAAACATAGCAACGTTTGTGAGGATGGTGCAGGACTGGGTGGTGTTTCATTCTGTTGCATATAGGGTCGCTATGAATGAGAACAGATTTGAGGGCACCTAACAACATCAGCAACAATCTTTACAGAAGCAGATAGCCAGGACTTTCTTCCATGGCACCACTGAGAGGGTTCTAACCACCAACCTTTAGGTTATTAGTGGAGTATACACCATTAGTGCCACCCAAGAACAGTTCTCCCCTAAATGTAGAAACCACTCTCTCAAGGAGCCTAGCAGGAAGCAGGAGGTGTCTCTTGTCTTCCTTTTATCCATCCAACTATTTAGCACTTATTGAGCCCTTACCATGGGCCAGAATCCCTGGGTGGTGCAAATAGTTAATGTGCTTGGCTGTTAACCAAAAGGTTGGAGGTTCAAATCCACCCAGAGGTGCCTTGGAAGAAAGGCCTGGCAATCTACGTCTGAAAAATCAGCCACTGAAAACCCTATGGAGCACAGTTCTACTCTGACACACTTGGGGTTACCGTGAAGCAGAATCAGCTCCATGGCAACTGGTTTTACTGTGAGCCAGGGACTCCGCTAAGAGCTAAGGAGATGCAGAGAGCTTCCTTTTAGCTTAGGGCTGAGTTTCTCAGTCCCAGAACCATCGACATTGTTGTTATGTGCCATTGAATCGATTCCAACTCCTAGCGACACTATAGGACAGAGCTGAAGTGCCCCATAGGGTTTCCTAGGCAGTCAACTTTACAGAGGAGCCCTTGGTGGGGCAGCGGTTAAGCCCTCAGCTGCTAACTGAAAGGTCAGTGGCTTGAATCCTCCAGCTGCTCTGCGGGAGAAAGATGTGGCAGTCTGCTTCCATAAAGATTTACAGCCTTGGAAACCTTATGGGGCAGTTCTACGCTATCCTATAGGGTCGCTATGAGTTGGAACTGACTTGAGGACAATAGGTTAATCTTTGCAGCAATTGATCTCCAGGTCTTTTCTTCTGCAGAGCCACTGGTAGGTTCAAACCACTGACCTTTAGATTAGCAGCCAAGGGCTTAGCCATTGGCCACCAGTGCTCCTTCCATCGACATTAACTCGTTGCCGTGGTTTATTCCGACTCATAGTGACCCTATAGAACAGAGTAGAACTACCCCATAGGTTTTTTTTTTTTTTTTGGTTTGGGTAGTGCAAATGCTTTGCACTTGACTACTAACATAAATCAGTATGGATTACACCTCAACATAAAGAAAACAAAAATTCTCACAACTGGACCAGTAAGCTACATTGTGACAAATCGAGAAAAGATTGAAGTTGTCAAGGACTTCATTTTACTTGGATCCACAATCAACACCCATGGAAGCAGCAGTCAGGAAATCAAACGATGCATCGCATTGGGGAAATCTGCTGCAAAAGACCTCTTTAAAGTGTTGAAAAGCAAAGATGTCTCCTTGAAGACTAACCCAAGCCATGGTGTTTTCAATTGCATCATATCCATGGGAAAGCTGGGACAATGAATAAAGAAGACCAGAGAAGAATTGACGCCTTTGAATTGTGATGTTGACGAAGAATGTTGAATATACCATGGACTGCCAGAAGAACGAACAAATCTGTCTGGATGAGACTACATCTTACATACTTTGGACATGCTATCAGGAGGGATCAGTCCCTGGAGAGGGACATCATGCTTGGTAAAGCAGAGGGTCAGCGAAAAAGAGGAATACCCTCAACGAGATGGATTGACACAGTGGCTGTAACAATGGGCTCAAGCATAACAACGATTGTGAGGGTGGTGCAGGACCCAGCAGTGTTTTGTTCTGTGGTGCATAGGGTCGCTATGAGTTGGAACTGACTTGATGGCACCTAACAACAACAACAACAATACTAACCTAAAGGTTGGAGGTTCGAACCCACCCAGTGGCCTGGCAATCTGCTTTCGTAAAGATGACAGCCAAGAAAACCCCATGGAGCACAGTTCTACTCTGTAACACATGGGGTCACCATGAGTCAGAATTGACTCGACAGCAATGGGTTTTTGTTTTTTGTTTTTGGTGTTATATATACATATATATATACGTATATATATGTATATATATATATTTGTTGCTGTTAGGTGCCATCGAGTTGGTGCTGAATCATAGAGACCATATGTACAACAGAACGAAACACTGCCTGGTCCTGCACCATCCTCACAATCACTGTTATGCTTGAGCCCATTGTTGCAGCCACTGTGTCAATCCATCTTGTCGAGGGTCTTCTTCTTTTTCTCTGACCCTCTACTTTACCAAGCACGACATGTATGTGTGTATATATATGTATATATATATACCTATTTAAAAAAAAATTTAAAAGGCCCCGGGCAAATGGGCCATGGGACTTACCGGATCTCAGGAACGGTTTGCCACACAGGGGGCAGCTGAAGTGGTTACGGAAAGTTCCTTGAACCAGCTGGTGCCCGTTGACACACTCCCGCCTCTCTGGAGCATCCTGCCCCTTGTCCTTCTGATGGGCTGGATTCTTACCCTGTGTGGGGGGAGGTGGCCTTAGAAGGGTCTGCTCTGTGGGCAGCAGGCTCCAGGCCCAGTGAGGCCCTGAGCACTCAGCACCCTGTAGAGCGGAAAGGCAGAGGGGGTGCCATGGGAGAAGCAGGTGGGGCTGTGGAGGAGGGGTGCAGCCCGACGGTCCCTCCACCCTGCCCGGCCCCCTGACCTTCTCCTTCTGCCTGGTGACCCGGCTGCGGAGCGAGCTCAGGCTGCGCTTCACCCTGGCCCCTCTGTCACTTCGCTCTGTCCTGCCTCCGCCATCCTCGCTCCTAAGGGGCAGTAAGGTGGATGAGGAAGAGGGCCGCAGGCTCCGCAGCCATTCTGAGGCAGCCCCAGGGGTCGCCCCTGGAAGCTACCCGGAACCTGTCTCCGTGAGGCCCACCTGGAATTCACCTGGAAACTGTTACCCTGAGCCCACCTGTCCTGCTTTACTCCTTTCTGGGTCCTTGGCTCCCTCTTCTCTCCTCCCCTTCCCCCTCCCGCTGCCCTAGCTCAACAAGCATTTATGAACATTTGCAAAGTTCTAGGGAAACTCTGAGGACTGGGTTTGTAGAGGTGAAGGCAAATAAGGTCTCGAGGTTCCTCGAGGGCCGCAGGCTGGAAATCCTGGCTCTGGCCACTTCAAACTCCTTCCTCTGACCACTCCCAACCGCCCCTCCCCCATATCTACCAGTCGGACTCCGACTCATGGCGACCCCATGTGTGTCAGAGTAGAACTGTGCTCCATAGGGTTTTTAATCGCTGTGTTTTCAGAAGTAGATTGCCAGGCCTTTCTTCCGAGGCACCTCAGGGTGGATTTGAACCGCCAGCCTTTCAGTGAGTAGCTGAGTCCGTAACTGTTCACACCACGCAGGGATACCCCCCCATATCTAAACCAAAAAAACCAAACCAGTTGCTGTCAAGTAGATTCTGATTCATGGTGACCCCATGTGTGCAGAGTAGAGCTGTGCTCCATAGGTTTTCAATGGCTGTGACTTTTTGGAAGCAGATCACCAGGCCTTTCTTCCAAGGCACTCTAGGGGGATTTGAACTTCTAACCTTTCTGTTAGCAGCTGAGCACATTAACCATTTTCACCACCCAGGGACACCCCCCCAACACCGCCCCATATCTAGTTGGCTTATAAATCCTGCCCATTCTTCTTTTGGAATAGTTCTCAAACCCCACCCCTCTCTCCATCTCTGACCACTGTCCATCCTTCCGGGATGACCCGGATGTCTTCATTTAATAAATATTTATTAAGTCAGTGACAAACACTCCAGGTATGGTCCCAGTCTTGGCAGAGCCTATTCCCTGGAGGGGGCCTCCATTGGCCAGCTTTTCCCTGAGCCCCCACCAGCCCTGTCTGTCCACTCCGTTATCAATTACCAGTCAGCTGGTTATGTCTATAAGAGATAAAACCATGCACCTTCAATTTACCCAGGTGATCGGGCCTCTGCTAACCCTTGTTATGGATTGAATTGTGTCCCCCAAAAATATGTGTTGTAAATCCTAACCCCTATATCTGTGGTTTGGGGCCCTGGTGGTGCACTGGTTAAGTGTTTGGCTGTTAACCAAAAGGTCAGCGGTTCAAATTCACCAGCTGCTCCTTGGAAACCCTATGGGGCAGTTCTCCTCTATCCTATAGGGTCACTGTGAGTTGGAATGGACTTGATGGCAATGGGTTTGGGTTTTGGTTTTATACCGGTGGTTATAATCCCATTTGGGAATGGGTTTTCTTTGTTATGTTAATGAGGCAGTATTAGTGTAAGGTGCGTCTTGAGTCAATCTTTTTTGAGATATAAAAGGAGCAGATTAAGCAGGGATGGTGAAGATAGATGCCAAGGAATAAGAATCTTCCCCTAGAGCCAGCTTCCTGAATCTGGACTTCCAGCCTCCTAAACTGTGAGGAAAGAAATTTTTGTTTGTTAAAGCCACCCACTTGTGGTATTTCTGTTACAGCAACAATAAATAACTGAGACAACCTTCTCACCTTCCCTCCTTCTAGCTCCACGAATAAATCTGTCTTGGAAGAAGTACAGTCAGAATGCTCCTTAGAAGCAAGGATGGCGAGACTTCGTCTCACATACTTTGGACATGTTATCAGGAGGGACTAGTCCCTGGAGAAGGACATCATGCTTGGTAAAGCAGAGGGTCAGTGAAAAAGAGGAAGACCCTCGATGAGATGGATTGACACAGTAGCTGCAACAATGGGCTCAAGCATAACGATTGTGAGGATGGCGCAGGACTGGGCAGTGTTTTGTTCTGTTGTACACGGGGTCGCTATGAGTTGGAACCTAACAACAATAAGCCCCACCCAGGCACGCTCCCTGGGCTTGAAGTTCAGGGCAGACACTGTTTCCTTTCCTCCATTCTCATCTCCGTTTATTGGCAAACTCTGGCTGCAGCCGTCACCTCCTCCAGGAAGTCCTCCTCTGTGCATCCCCCCCTCAGGGTGCATGGGGGGCCCCCACTGGCTCTCAGAGCAAGCTTGTCCTTCTTCTCCCTGGTTGCCTGTGAGAAGATGGGGCCCGACTCCTGCCCCCAGCCCGGGGCCCGGCACATACGGTCGGTCATCGGTAAGCGCTTGCTGAAATCCAGTACCTGCCCCCACCCGCAGCCCCCAACTCTGCACACTTACTCAGACAGGAACTCGAACCAGGTGATGTTGGACTGGGATGCCCCAGGGCTGGCCGGCAAGCGAGCCCTCTGCCGAGCCCTGAGGGGTCGAAGGGGACAGACACCTGGTCAGCAGCGCCTCCTCTCCCAGCTCAGCCCCTCCCACTCCATCCTCCCCGCTCCCATCCGGAGCTTCTTGGTACGGCTATGCACCGGGGCAGCGTCTAGGAGCTTCCCCGCCCTTAGGCACAGGTTTGTACGTGTGTTTATTACTACCGCTTCCAGCAGAGGGCAGCAAAGCGCCCTGGCCGAACAAAAATCAGTGCTCCATGGAGGGGTTCTAACCAACGTTCCAATCAATGGCGGTGTCTTGGGAAAGAGGCACCTTGTTCTCATTTGTGTAAAGGCACCCTGTGGGCTGGTGGCAGCTTGCTTTACCCCAACTCTTGTCCCTGTCCTTTTCCACTCCGTCCCTCCTCCTACCTCTCCCGCCCCCTTTTTCTCCCATTTCTCCCTGTCTTCTCCACACCCCCCCATCTCTATTGTCCCCAACCTGTCTTCCCCCTTTGTCTCCAAACTGTCTCCAAACCTGTTCCCCACACCTGTTTCCCACACCTACCCTCCAATACCTGTTCCCCACTCCACTTCTCCCATACCTGTCCTCCCATACTTGTCCCTCACACCTGTTCCTCATGGTTGTTTCCCACACATATTCTCCCGTATCTGCCCCCCTCACTTGTCCCCCACAAGTTTGCCACACCTGTTCCCCATACCTGTCCCCCACATCTGCTTCCCACACCTATCTCCTCACACCTGTGCCCCACATCTTTTCCCCATACCTGTCCCCCAGGTTTGTCTCCCACATCTGTTCCCTACATCTGTTCTCCCATACCTGTTCCCCACACCTGTCCCCCCACTTCTATTCTCCCACACCTGTTCCCCACACTTATTTCCCATACCTATTCTCCCATACTTGTCCCCCCACACCTGTTCCCCACACCTGTCCCGTCACACCTGTCCCTCTACCGACTTAGCCTTGGTACTGTCGGAGTTCTTGAAGCACTTGCTGGACAATCAGCCTGGAGGAGGTTCAAAGCAGCCCACGCTGCCACGGTTTACAAAAGCAGCCCCCAAGATGAGCTGTGAATGTGAGGCCAGGCCGCCCAGCACTGACTCAGACCTTCACTGTGAACCCCCACCCCTCGCCTCATGTCAAGTTCCTTTCTGGTGGAGCCAGGCCCCTCCCCTGGGAGAAGGATGGTGTGGGACAGACTGAGGTTATGGAGACTGAGAGCGACAGTGGCTGCTCACTTGCAGGCAAGTGGCACGGTCAGCCACACCACACCCCCTCCCCCAACCTTGATCCCTTGGCGCCGCCCCCTGGGGCCCCCACCTGCATGGGGAGGCACTCACACGTGATCGGGCTCCACGTGGTCCTTTTCCACCCACTCCAGCACTGGGGGGTCCAGACCTGGAAGCAGCCCCCAGCCCAGGAGGCACCGGTGTGAGGGGCCCTCCTTGACCCCACCCTGGACCCCTGCAGAACTGGAGACCTTGTGGAAGAAGGCGGGGCCCAGGGCCAGAGAGGACCCTCCCCCTGCAGCCCTGCTGAAGGAGAGACACTAACGCCTCTAGCTCAGTTAGAAAGAGGCAGATTGAGGTGAAACCACAGGGGTCTGTCTGACACGAGAAAGATGCAAGTTCTTATAGTAGAGATTCAGAGACAGAGAGGGAGATATAGGAAGAGATGGTCTCAGAGAGGAGAGAGAGCTCCCCTGGGCAGAATTCTGGGGGTCTGGGGGCCCAGAAAGAGCCCTCGTGGCGCAGTGGTTAATCGAAAGGCTGGTGGTTCGAACCCAACAGCCGCTCCACAGGAGAAAGACCTGGCAATCTGCGTCCTCCAGTACCAGGACGTTAAGGACATTGCGGTGGTACCAGTCCCTGGGTGGAGGCCCCCAGGTGGAGTGGCAGGTACGGAGGCCCCTCCCTCTCTCTAGGGCCCCGTACCCGTTGCCTTGGAGTAGATTCTGACTCATAGCTACTCTTTAGGACAGGCTAGAACTGCCCCATAGGGTTTCCAAGACTGTAATCTTTACGGAAGCAGATTGCCAGGTCTTTCTCCTGTGGAGCAGCTGGTGGGTTCGAACTGCCAACGGTTCGCTTAACCACTGTGCCACCAGGGCTCCTCTGAGCCCTCCAAACCCCCAGAATTCTGCCCAGGGGACCCTAAGTCCCCCATCATCCCCTTTCCCTTCCCCAGGGCTCAGCTGGGGTCTCACCCAGGGGACCCTCCAACAGGATCTTCTGACTCTCTACCTTCCCTTCCCCCACCTGGTTAGAACGAGGGAAACTCCCAGGCTGAGCACCTTGAACAGCTGGACTGGGCACCTCCAGAGCCTGAGGGAGCTTCAGGGAGCTGATCTCGTCAGAGGACACCGGAACTGACCATGACCGCCTTCTTTTCTCAGTGCCGCCACCTTCCTGTGGGGAGTAAGCATCTCACTGAGCCCTGGAGGGAGTCCCTGGGTGGTGCAAATGGTTAATGCACTCAGCTGCTAACCAAAAGGTAGGAAGCTGGAGACCACCCAGAGATGCCTTGGAAGAAAGGCCTGGCAATCTGTTTCCAAAAAATTAGCCATTGAAAACCCCATCGAGCACAGTTCTACTTTGACACACATGGGGTCGCCATGAGTCGGGGTCGACTGGTAAGCCCAGGAGGCTGCCCAGGCTGCAGGCAGGCTCATCAGATTGGGGGAGGGGCACATCCAAGAAGCTGGGGATACACCCTCTTCAGCAGCTGTCTGCAGTCCTGGTGGAATGAGGTCCCCGCGCTGTGAGCTGGAGCGCCAGGACTCAAGTCATAGCCTCCCCAGCCATGAGTAGCAGCCACGGTCAGGAATTTCCCCAGGGGTCATGGTCATGGCCAAAGATTCCCCAGCCACGGGCCACATCCCCCAGCAGGCACCCCCAGCTATGGGTTAGGAACCGAGGCCTGAGACACGCCCTCCCCAGCCACCAGCTCTAACTACAGATGGGGATTCCTCCCAGCTACAGGCTTCATCCACGGAGCCTCCAAACCTGGGCTGGGACCACAGAATGGGAAGATACGCCCTGCCTCCCTTTCCCCCCAGCCCCTGGGTTATAGCCATGGCCAAGGACCCCCACGTGGGCTCCAGCTGCTAACAGAGATTCCTGGGCTGGAATCTCAGGACTCTGAGATGTGCCAGCTGTGGGCTACACCACAGACGAGGCCCCGCTGCCCTAAGTGGGGGCACCAGCAGGGGGTAAGGCTCTCCTTCCTACCCACAACCCTGGCTCCTGGCCCCAAAGGGTGTGACTGTCAGGATGGCCATAGGTTACACTCACCTTGCCTGGGTGCTCTGTTGGACTCTCGCCCCCAGTTAGGCACCCTTGGGTCCAGGCCTGCAGGCCCCCTCCTGACAGGTTAAGAGTGAGGCTGGCCAGTGTCCGAGGGAGAGAAGGCCCCTCATCCACCTCTAAAATGTCGAGGCTGAGCCTAGGGAGGAAGCAGCGAGCTCGGGCTTCGGCTGATTTCCCCAGGGAGCCGAGGGCTTGGGGGACCTGCAGGGGCGGGCAGGGCATACTCCCATATCAGAGGGGTAGAGTGTGGCAGGGGCAGTGTGGGGTGAGGGGAGCTTGATTAGGGGATTGGCTTGGAGCCACATTCGCATGGCAAGCCCTTCATTTTTACCCAGACTGGATCTGGGGTATAGGGTTGATGGCGATGGGGAACTGGCTGAAGCACCCCTTGACGCTGCAGGGTGCATGGGGTCACACACACATCTGTGCTTTGATCATCAGTGCAGCTGTAGTTTGCACACACGTGCAACTGGTGTGCAAGTCACATGTTGAGGCTTGCATGCGTGTGAGCAGGATAAGTGTGTGAGCCTGCGGGTTGAGCGTGGACAAGTGTGCACGTTTTTCTCGTGTGTGTGCAGCATGCACGTACAGCCCACAATCTGGGCTTGTGCACGTTTGCCGTGCATGCGTTGGCCATGCATGCCGCTTTGCACGCCTATGGAAGCCCTGTGCGCATGCCTGTGCACGCGCGCTGAGTGAGGGGTCTCCAGGCTCGGCTCTGACGGTGCAGACTCCACTGGTGGCCCTTGAGCTGGGCGGTGCAGCTGCAGGGGCAGCAAGACCCAGCCCCTAGCTTGCCCTGGGAGTGTGTCCTGGGAGGTGGGCAGCAGTGGGGCTGACCTCTGCCAGCTTTCCGAGCAGCTCCGTGACCGCTCCCAGCTGCGCCTCCTTGCCTGCGGGCCCAGGGACCCTGCCCAGCTGTAGAAGGGCGAATCTCCTCCAGCTCCGCTAGGGGGGGAACTGTCATTGGCCTCCTCAGACAGGCTATGGGAAGGGGCCCCCAGGCCCAGGTCCTGGAGATAGTCGCTGCCCTGAAGGGCTCCCAAGTCTAGGCTGAGGTCCTCAGAGCTCTCGTCCAGCCGCCCTGGAAAGCCATCTTCTTCCTACGGGCCGGTGGGGAGAAAAAGGCACTAACAAGAACTGCAAAGTCTTCAGTCTTCTGATCATGAGGCCCCCACTCCCCAACACCCAGACCCTGCCCGAACCCTCCATCCAACCTGGGCTCAGCACCCTTCACACTGTGAGTGGGGTGGAGTCTCCCCAGTGCTCTGTCCTACCTGGCCCTTTAAGACCTTCACTCAAAAAAGGGGCAGGATCCTGGGCTTCTAGACTTGATTCTCTTACTTCCAAGTCCTGGCTGAGCACCTCACCTGGCTGAGGGTCAGTCTGATTGTCCTAGGAAATGGACATCATAACCTGTGCCCTGCCCACTCACCAGCTTGTTTTAGGGCTCTGGGAAGATTGCGTTTGCAAATGCGATTTGCAAAGGTGCTGCACAGATGTGATTGTTATGGATTGAATATGTCTCCCAAAAATATGTGCTGAAATCCTAACCACTGTACTTGTAAATATGACCCTGTTTGGAAATAGGGTTTTTTTCTCAATGAGGTCATATCCAAGTAGAGTGGGTCCTAAATCTAATCCCTTCTGAGTTATAAAAAGAGCAGAACAGAAACACACACACACACACACACACACACACACACACACACACACACACACACACACACACACGCACGGGGCGGGGGTGGGAGGAGAGGAAGACAGACGATGGAGATAGATGCATCTAAAGCCCAGGAACGCCAAGGATTGCGGCAGCTCCTGGAAGCTGAAATAGTCAAGGAAGGCCTGCCCCCTAGAGCCGGTGCCCTGAGTTTGAACTTCTATCCTCCTGAACTGTGAGAAAATAAATGTCTGTTCTTTAAAGCCACACACTTTTGATATTGTTTCTACCTTTTACATTCCAATCACCAATAATCATCAATGCATCTTGACTGAATGTTTGATCAATTTCAGACTGCAGAAGTTGGTAAAAATTATCAGTTTCTTCATCTTTGGCCTTGGTGGTTGCAGCATAAATTTGAATAACAGTCATATTAACTGGTCTTCCTTGGAGGTGTGTGGATGTCATCCTATCACTGACAGAATTGTTCTTCAGGATAGATCTTGAAATATTCTTTTTGATGTTGAATGTGACTCGATTCCTCTTCAATTTGTTATTCCCGGCATAGCAGACCATATGACTGTCTGATTCAGACTGGCCAATAGCAGTCCATTTCAGCTCACTAACGCCTAAAATATTGATCTTTATGCAGTCCATTTCATTTTTTGATGACTTCCAAAATTTTCCTAGATTCATACTTTGTATGTTCCACATTCTGATTACTAATGGATCTCTGCAGCTGTTTCTTCTTGTTTTGAGTCTAAAGTCTGAAATTGATCAAACATGCAATCAAGATGCACTGATAATTATTGGTGATTGGAATGCAAAAGTTGGAAACAAAGAAGAAGGATCGGTAGTTGGAAAAGATGGTCTTGATGACAGAAATGACACTAGAGAACGAATGATAGAGTTTTGCAATACCAATGACTTATGCATGTCCCTGGAGAAGGACATCATTGTTACTAAGGTAGAGGGTCAGCAAAACAGAGGAAGACCCTTGTTGAGATAGATTGACACAGTGGCTACAACAATGGGCTCAAACATAGCAATGGTTGTGAGAATGGTGAAGGACTGGGCAGTGTTTCATTGTGTTGTACATAGGGTTGCTATGAGTTGGAACCAACTCGATGGTACCTGTTATGGATTTAACTGTGTCCCCCAAAATGTTTGTCAACTTAGCTAGGCCATGACTCCCAGTATTGCTTGACTGTCCACTATTTTGTCATCTGATGTGATTTTCCTATGTGTCATAAATCCTACCTCTATGATGTTAATGAGGCTGGATTAGAGGCCGTTATGTTGATGAGGCAGGACTTAATATGCAAGATTAGATTGCCTCTTAAGTTATTCTCTTCTGAGATATGAAAGAGAGAAGCGAGAAGAGAGACATGGGGACCTCATACCACCAAGAAACAAGAGCCAGGAGAATAGTGTGTCCTTTGGACCTGGGGTCCTTGGGCTGAGAAGCTCCTTAACCAGGGAAGATTGATGACAAGGACCTTCCCCCAGCGCCAACTGAGAGAGACAAAGCCTTCCCCTGAAGCTGGCACCCTGAATTCAGACTTCTAGCCTCCTGGACTGTGACAGAATAAATTTCTCTTTGTTAAAGCCATCCACTTGTGGTATTTCTGTTATATCAGCACTAGATAACTAAGACAGTACCTAACAACAACAACAGGATGGCTAAGATGAAAAAAAAAAAAAGGAAAATAACAAGTGTTGGAGGGGATGTGGAGAAATCGGAACTCTCATCCATTACTGGTGGGAATGCAAAATGGTACAGCTGTTGTGGAAAACAGTCTGGTGGTTCCTTAAGAAACTAGAAGTAGAGCTGTCATATGACCCATCAATTCCACTCCTAGGCCTATATTCTAGGGATCTAATAGAAGTGACATGAACAGACATGAGACACCTGTGTTCACTGCAGCACTAGTCACAAAAGCGAAAAGATGGAAACAATCTAAATGCCCGTTAACAAATGAATGCATAAATAAAATATGGTGCATACATGCAATGGAATAGTACTCAGCAATGAAGGAAAATGAGTTCCTGAAACATCTCACAACATGGATGAGCCTGGAGGACATTATGTTGAGTGAAATAAGTTAAACATACACACACACAAAACCAAATATTGTATGTTCTCACTTTTATGAAGTAACATGAATAGGTAAATATACAGAAACTAATGTTCATTAGTAGTTACCAGGGGTGGTGGGGGTGGGGGAGAGGGAGAAGTACCTCTAGGTAGAAGTTACTTTTTGTTTATAGAAATGGGAACGGTGGCATCCAATATGGGTGAAGTTTTCACATCATGACTGATGTAACTCATGTCAATAAGCTGTACATAGGGAAAAGGGATGAATGGGCAAATGCTAGGTTGTGTTATGCAGCAATAACAACAACCAATAAAAGGGGGGCTACAGATGCTGATACTAATTAGACATAACCAAATGACCTCATGGGATTAGTTCTCTCGGCGTGTGGACTTAGGGCCATGGTCTCGTGGAAAATCCAGTGGGCATAATATAGTTCTTAGAGCTTATGTTCTACCTTCCAGTTCTGAGGTCTTAAAAGCTTGTGAGCAGCCATGGAAAAAGGAAACCCAAGAATTAGAGAAGGATCTGGACTACAGAACTAATTGTCTACATGAACCACAGCCTCTTCCACCTGAGACCAGAAGAATTAGATGGTGCCCAGCTGCCACCACTGAACATTCTGATCAGGAACACAACAGATGAATCCTGATAAAAAGGGAGAAGAACGTGGAACAGAACTTCAAATTCTTAAAAGAATCCAGATTTACTAGACCTATCAAGTCTGGAGGAATCCCCGAGACTAGGGCCCTGAGTTTCTCTTCAAACCTTGAGTTGAAACAATCCCCTGAAGTCACCTTGAAACTAAGTAACAGTTTAGCCCAAAGAGTAAAGATTGTCACCCTTGAGTGGTGTGTGTGTGTGTGTGTGTGTGTGTGTGTGTGTGTGTGTGT